AATTTTCTTTAATTTATTTATCATTTCTTTTATTTTTTGTCATTAATTTGTATTTAATTTAATTGATTATTTTTTAATTTGTATTTAATTTTTTTTATTAGCATCGATGTCTTGCGTATGGTAGTTATAATTCGGTTCGCAAAATTTTTCGAGATTATGCATTATTTTATTATCATTTGTTCAACGTTTTAACATTTGAATTTTTGCAGGATGTAGTATTATTTAGATGTAGAGGTCAGGCGGATGACGGGAAAAGCTACTTGAAACAGTAGCTTTGAGAGTGTTGGAACCGCTCGATGATCAGCACGGAGATGTGCTACGAAAATCCTTCCAATGGCTTCTGTACCAGTTGCGAGAGGTACAGTACTCAGGACAGATCATCGATGCACTACTATGTCAACTTCTGAAGCCAATCGATGGCGATGCCCTCCACTTCGACCTCGGGGGCAAGATCGTTAATTTCTCGATGTTTGAGTTTGCCCTGATCGTTGGACTGAGGATTACGGCGACAAGGCAGCCACTGAGAGAGCAACATGCTGTACGAGACGTATTTCCAGGGACAAGGGACGGTGTTTCTACTGAAGTTCATGGGGACGATCAGGGAATGCGACCAAATGTTAGATAGATTGAAGTTTGGACTGGTCTACATCCTTGAGATCGTGATGAGGTGTCATCACAAAAAGACCAATGTCGACATTTTCCATTTGCAAGTTGTTAACGACATCGATGCGTTCAACAACTATCTGTGGGGTCGGTGATGTTTTGACAACACCGTACACGTCTTCACCAGATCACACTAAAAGCCAAGGGGTCCATGCATTATGATACATATGGATTACCCTTGGTAATGCAGGTAAATGTTTAATATAATCAAAGTTAAAAAAATTTTTATACTAAATTTATATATAATAAGTGTATGTGTTTCAGATCTGAGCATATGAGACGATTCCCCTCTTAGTTACTCGATTTTCTAGGCAAGGAGAGATACGCAGCTCTCGGATGTGTCATGGCGAGCATCCTGAGCAGACGAATGTCCGTCTAGCAAACAATTATCAGCCCTCCTCGATCACCCTAGGGTGAATATTAGACCTTGTAAATTTATATTGTATGTCGTTTCAGAATTTCATCACATGATCATTAACTAGTTGAAACGTTAATATGTCAGCTTGAGGTTCTAACCTAGTTGACGTCGTCGATGGAGAAGGGTCAAGATTTTATGCATGAATTAGCCGTTTCGTATACTCCACGAGACCATATGTTCGATTCTATCCTGGATAGAGATCTGGTATGAGAATTGAATATAATTTATTGATTTATCGTTTTATATGAGTTAGCATATTTTAACTAAGTTAAGAATTTTTAATGTTATTTGTATAGGAGTGCGATCCAATTGATCGACGATCACCTCCGCCGTCGAGGGGACCACCTCTGTCCTCTATGAGATCACCTCTGCTGCTGATGAGAACTCATTCTCCTCCTTCCAGCACCTCCCCATTAATCTCCTGCACACAGTGATCTGTATGTCCTTCTAATTGGATTTATGGCGAAGATGAGGTAGGAGGTGGGCGCCTTATGAGGGAAGGTAAGGGCGCTGCGACGAGATATTAAGTTTACGTCAAGATATTGCAATGCTCCGCAGCTGTGTATCAGACCGTGAGGTGGAGGTCGTAGCTCTCCGAGACTATATAGCAGGAATAAGAGGAGACTGATGATTAACGGGACGACGGAGATGGTGACTGAGAGGGTGATAGAGATCGCGGTCCCTTACCATTGTAACAAATGATGCATTTTGGACGGGGACGGAGGTGGCACTGATGATGGAGGTAGAGGTGTTCGAGACGGAGTCGTTGGTGGAGAGAGTAGCGGAGGCTGAGGGGGTGTCTCCAATGATGGAGGAGGTGGTGCCTCCGATGACAGAGGAGGGGAGGACGCCGGTCGTGACAAATGGTAAGAAGCGTACTGTTAATGTGCCGGTGTAGGTGGTCGGCAAAAGGTCGAGATTGTCGTCACAATACGTCGTATCTCCATTTACGGCTGAGGTGAACAGTAGGACGTTCGTCTACGGGACATACCCCAATCTTTTCCAAGAGGTAAATCATGCCAAATGGAAAGTGTTCAAGACGGTTGGAGAAGAATTATGTCGGGGTAAGTATTTTACAATTTCAGTGAAATAGGCTACGCTAACTCATCTATACTTCTTTTAACATTTTTTTAGTTTATTTTTTCAGAGATAGCCGTATTGTGGGGGAGGGGGGAGGACGATCCCGAAAGCTTATAACTGGATTCATGACATCACCACTTTGAGAACTTGGTTCACCGACGATGTAAGTAAAATAGTCATATTATTATTTATTATGTATACATAATTTTTTTGTTTTTCAGAGCTAGCCACAAAATAGTTGAAAGTCAATCACTGATGCCTATAAATGGTTTCATAACGTCACGACTTCAGGAATGATGTAAGTGTAATATCGCAATTGTTATTTATTATGTATACATAATTTTTTTGTTTATTAAATGAAATAACTCCCTAAATTTTTTTAGAACAATGCTACTGTTATAGGAAACAAATTCTGTAAAAATAACAGGACACACACATGGGGGTGGGACCCATTTTTCATAATAGTATTTTATTCACATGGGGCCCACCCCCATGTGAGTATTCTGACATTTTTACAGATGAAATAGTTTTGTACAAGTAGTTTAATTGATTTTTTTTTATTGGTGTTTCCGATATAGCACATCAACTTGGCTATGGACTTATTGCGCGATCAGGCTCGAAGATATCCAAAATCATTCGACATTCCTGACTGACTCATATTGAGCACCGAGTTTGTACGTACTGTTACCAATGAGCATCAGTCGTTTCAACTTATCGGTAATGAGTACATGTTGCCCGAATATATGGCCGAGTGGGTTGTAAGGATGTGGTCGAGTATCGGGGGAAAGCTATGGGAGGGTTATACGCATATATACATTCTAGTGATCGTGAATCATCACTGCATTGTCGTTGAGATAGTCTTTGCTGATTTCACTATATATGTGTATGATTTCGACCATTCCTGTCTAACACAGGACCATTCGAGCATAACTTAGAGCCGGTGGATGTGATCGATCCCTTGATAGCTGTCCGAGTCGGTGTGATTGTGAAGGACATACTAGCAATAGTGCGGGACACGACGATGGTGAGACAGTCGAGATCGTAAGTATTTATAATTTTTTAACTTGAAAACTTAGTTTTTAGCTACACAATATCGAACTAAAATATGTTGAATTTTTTAGTATAGGACAAAATGTTGATAGAATCAACCAATCATTGATACAAAATTGGAGGAATAAATTAGCGTGCAATTTGTATGAATTCGAATGCGATTCGGAAACATTGTATATTTAATTGTTCATTTATTTATGAAATGATTGTAAATATTGTAAAACTCATATAAATATTGTATATTTAATTGTTCATTTATTTTTGAAATAATTGTAAATATTGTAAAACTCATGTAAGTATTGTGATTGTACCTCATTTTCAGCAATTTGCAACTCAGGTCCTCAAATATTTACAATCTAGGTCCCTTAACTATGATTTTGTACAATTTGGTCCTTCATTTTTCATTTCTCATCGGTCTAATTGTCATTTAAGAGAATCTAACTTGTACAAAATTGACAAGTATGCCTTGTTGCTTCACACCTGCCGCACCTATGCGGTCAAGAAAACTCTTCAGTAGATGGTATTTTAGACGTACGTGGACGTCCATGACCATGCGTTTTAACTTACGATGCAAAAAACTATTAAGTGGGAAAATATGGTCGGGAATTTCCTACTCGACTTCATTAGGTAGAGGAAATACAGTCTCAGCATACACTGCTCTCCAATAATTTGCCGTGTAATAAGAGGAGCATATTGTTCTCGCTACAAAACCTTTATACATAGCCACCGCGACTGAATATTCACATGAAAAACTCTCCAACTGAAATCGATGACAAGTGCATGTGTTATCAGTCAAGTCCACCATGTATGCCATATTACATGCAAATTTCACGGAGAAGCACAACTCATCCAGTTGTTCCACATTTAACTTTCTCGCAAGTTTTGTAGTCTTAAATAGTTTATCCTTTTAAATCGGGGCTAGCACGTTCGTGCAATTTTGTGATTTAGCATGTCGGTCGTGAAACTACTGCTGCAACTTGTTATGAATGTTTTCAATCATTACGAGGATTGATAGCTCTCGATCTTTCTTGAATAATGTATTGAGAGACTCCTCAATGTTTGGCGTCATCATATTGTATCGTCGTCCTAAAAAATGTGATCGCGCATAGTGTTCAATCCCCATTTTTATCAGATACTCCCATACCGATAATGATTTACTTCCTATTTTCAACATAAACTTATTACATTCTTCAACACTATAAGTTTCGACCGTTCTCCTAAGCAATGAAATGATGCATTTGCCTCGATACTTAGTCTTCAGGTGGCCTTGTATATAGTACATGCAATATCTATGATATGCCTCCAAAAAAACTTCAATGATACCATTTATTATATACGGTCCATGATCAGTTATAAAGGCAAGGTCCTCGACTTCCCCGATTACGTCCATCAGCTTTGTGAAAAACCAACACATCAACATAACATTCTCACTATCGACTATGTTGAATGCAAGAGGGTAAATTTGAATGTTGGCATCGTGACATGTAGTAATAATTAACTTAAATTTGTATCTAACTTTCAGAGTTGGACCATGAAATTTTGAAATCCCCGAATGCATTGTCTAAAAGTTATGAAGAAAAACTCAAAATAATTCTCTCCTTCCGTCTCAATAAAAAAGTCGAGCCAGGATTAGTTATTCCCATAAGTTTCTAGGAATTGAGGTGAGAAGACATGAGACTGGTATGCATCTCACTCAAATAAAATACACAAAAGATCTACTGAAAATGTTCAATTTTGAGCATCTCAACCCTTGTCTAAAACCTATGGCAACAGGTAAATCTATCTCTAAAAATGAATGTGAAACCATGGCAGATCCTTCCTTATATAGAAGTGTAATTGGTGGATTACAGTACCAGTACACACACGACCTGATATAACCTTTGTTGTGAATAAGATGAGCTAAGTGCTGCAAATACCTACAGACATTCATTGGAAGGCAGTCAAAAGAATTTTCAGATATCTAAAAGGAACAATTGAGCAGGGCTATGGATTCAAATGAGTGACAAATTAGACTTTACCACCTTCGTTGACGCTGATTGGGCATCATGCCCTGATGACAGAAGATCCACAGTTGGTTATTGTGTCTATTTAGGTGACACCTTGGTGGCCTGGTCATCAAGGAAGCACTAAGTTGTAGCTAGGTCAAGTACGGAGTCAGAATACAGAGCCTTAGCATAAGTTACTGCTGAAATAATTTGGATTGGATCTCTGCTCAAAGAGATTAAGCTGTATTCCTTATTACCTCCTATATTATGGTGTGACAATCTTAGTGCAAGTGCATTAGCCTCAAATCCTATCTACCATGCACGTACAAAGCATATAGAGTTAGATATACACTTTGTTAGGGACAAAGTTCTTGAGGGAAATCTGAAAATCTAATATGCTCCATCATCAGATTAAGTAGCGGACTTGCTAACAAAACCCCTTGCTCAAACCAGATTCTTGTTTCTTAAGAACAAGCTTGAAGCTAATACCACAAATTCCACATAATCCTTGTACATGAACGGACAGTGAACACATTAGTGCCACAAGCTGATAGTGTGCACCTATAGCTCATGATTAGTTGTTGTAACTGTATTTGATTCTCACGTGTCTTGCACATGCTCGTTAGTTATTTTCTTACTTATTCACTACTCCAAAACTCTTAGGGTCCGTTTGATTGCAATAGTGAAATTTGGGTGGAAAGAAAATGAATTACAGGGAATTGAATTGCTTAGAATTGTGTTTCATGAGAATTGTTAATTAATTGTGTTGGATTTGTATAATTTTCCACTTGAAAAATGTTGAAATTTTGGATTTTTTGGTATTTGTTTGACTTTATTTTCCATAAAAATTATCTATTAAAGAGAATTTTTTTTTTTTTTAACAATTATCTATAGAATTTGTTTTCACTGTCAAAAAGTAAAAAAAAAATTTTAAAAAAAGCTGGAAAACCATTTTAACCAATTCAACAAAAATATGGAAAAAGTGGTCACGTGGGGGGTGGGAGGAAAATATTTTTCATGGAAAATTTTGGCTATCAAATATGGCAAAAGTGGAAAATTGAATTTCAATTCCATTTTCTATGGAAAAAAGTGGCCTATTAAATAGGCCCTTAATATGTTTTGTATCATATTAGCTGTAAATTTATATCAAAAACATATTTAATATATTTGAATTATCTTCTGCCTTTTTCACCAGTTTCTAGCTAAAGGTTTTTATAGTAATTTCAACTGCTATAGACGCTATCTGACAGCATCTGCCATGTTTCGAGGAAAAAATGAGCACAAAGGAGATTGAAGAACAATTGCTCAACGTCCAGAACAAGAACTCCTCATACTTTGTTGAGTGGATCCCTAACATTGTGAAGTCCAGTGTGTGTGACATTCCCCCAATTAGCTTGAAGATTGCTTCCACACTTGTAGGAAATTCCACGTCGATTCAAGAAATGTTCAGGCGAGCGGGTGAGCAATTCACAATCATGTTCTGACGCAAGGCCTTCTTGCACTGGTACACCGAGGAAATGATGGATGAAAAGAAGTTTACTAAAGTTAAAAGCAATATGAATGATTTGGTTGCAGAGTATCAATAGTACCATGATGCTATTGTAGAGGAGGATGAAGACTATGATGAGGGCGACGAAGAGAAATATGATGGCTAAAAACTTATTATTAGTGCTTGATTCTTGTTGTTTGTCTACTTTGAATGATTATACCTTTTTTTTTTTCTTTTTTTTTATTCAAATT